AAATATCCGCCACGACGTTAAGGCGCTGAAGCAAGCATGCTATAGCTGCTGTGTTCAATTAATTGTGATTTTCATGCACCGAGTGGGATTTGGCGTGTGTATGGCGCCGCGCCGAAGATGGACTGAGCTGACAGTCAGAAGATTAAGCTGCAACAGCCCAAAGGCCGTGGAATGAAGTCACAGTCTTGCTAGAGCTCTTCGTGCTGATGCTGCTGCTGATTCGCGTGCGTGAGACGTTTGAGTCAAGCCACTCACATCTGATGAATTGTTGAATGAAGCTCAAGTGTTTTGAGATTGCTCCGCCGCTGTTTCGGGGCAATGATGAGCCGCTCTTCCTGACCTCGACTTCTCCCGATCATGATTCACGATTCTAGCTTCAAGTTAGCTTCAGCAAGGCGAATCTTGGAGAAAAGAGGCTGGTCTCTCTAATTACTGACGAGAGGCACGTTTCGTCGGACAGCCAACGCTTGAAGCGTTGAGGGGTGCCCGTCAGGTCGAGGCTTTGAGCGCGCTGAATCGATGTGGACCCCGATGATGCTTCCTTTCTGATGCTGGTGGTCACACGACGTTTCATATGTGTGCTTGCCAGCTGCCACCTGGTGTGTTGCGGACATGCATTCACATTGATGGGATTCGACGGAGCTTCGTGCCAAGCCACAAAAAACAAGCCCAGCCCTGCATGCCTCGCCCATCGTGCAGCGGCAAGCAGCCAGCTAGGGCGCGTGTCTGCGCCACTTCGCGCTAGCCGAGTCTCCAGAGCCGCCTCACGTGTCTCGATTAAAGATCATTCAAGAGTCAAGAGTCACCTAACCGAACTACACTCATCAGACTTCGTGGTCAAAGCTGCGTCAAGAGTGTTTGAGTATAGTCAGTCACCTGTGCTGCTGGTACCTCGAAGGTCCCGTCTCATTCAAATTGTTTGATGAGCCGACAAACGGCTCCTTAAATTCGGTCTTTTGACTCGGATCCTCGAATGCGCGCGTAGCAAGAGTCGTGAGTCACGAGTCGGTCAGCACGTCAGCTGAGTCAATTCCGCCGAGCTGACGTGCGCGTGCGCGGTGCACGTTGTCGCGCGCCGATCACGGGGGACAGCCTCTGTGCCTGCTGTCTGCAGACCTATTTACGGCAGACAAAACAAAACATCGGCCCGCAACACAATTGGAATCTGAATACGGGAGACGTCTGCTCTGCGCGTGACCATTGCAAGCTCAGCACTGATGAACGGATGTCCAGCTGATGGGCTCATCACTCGTGCCTCGCAAATCTCGATGAGACTGGTTCGGACATCGAGCACGTAAGCAAAGAGAGCGCTCTTCCGCGCCGCAGACGCACGGTCAACGGTCTCGAGCTGTTGGCCAACGGTGTTCAACGACAACACACGCACACCCACATCCTTTCCCATCTCAAACACGAGTACAACAGGCATCACACCGAGCAAAGCGAGAACAAGCCGACAAAGACCCAGTCGCGCCTGGCATCTGCTCCACTTCAACGCTCACGCCGTCCATACACCTCTTGCTCTCATCTTTGCAACATCTCACTGCACCTCCGTCATTCTGCTTGTCGGCTTTTCGACGTGCCTATAGCTAAGCGGTCGTACCACTGGCGACCCCTCCCACAACGGCCTGAGCTTGGCTTTAATCGAGCCGGCCATCTGCCTGCTTTGCCTTCCTTACTTTTCCTGGTCTGCACATGCAGGCAACAGGACAGAGCGCCCACACATCGACACTACGTCACACGACCTTGACGAAGGGCTGTGATAGGATTGTCCTGTTACCTTGCTCAAATACAGTCCACCCTGGGCAGTGCATGGATCTCTGTATCCGCTCCCCACTCTCACTTGACACTAGGACAGGAATGCCAAGCGCAATCTCCACGGCTTGGGCATTCTGAATCACTTTGCTCATTGGCACGATGACTCCTGGTTCGAGCACGTCGAACGCCGATCTCCTTTCAGCTCCCGCCAGAAGCTCTCACACTTCAAGTCACACTGACGGCTCACCGGGGCTCTCCGCCAGCTCTGGATCCAACAGCAGCAGCGACGGCACGACGACGCCAGCGAAGAATAGAGCAAGACAGACATCAAAGACGTCGAGATCGCGCAGCGTGGATGTCGGCGAGGCTATAACGCCTGGTCGAGTGTCAGAAAGTGCCCGCACCGCACCTTCTTCTCCTGCTTCAGGAACACCTTCTGTTGGCCGAACGCTCCAAAACACGTACAAGGCCCTTCAGCTGCGAGCGCGGAGGAGTCTGCTGGACTTGCGCGTTGGTGGTAGCGGATCCGCTCGCCGTCATGAGGGGCTACATGGTGCAACTCGCCATCTCCACCCTCACGCGCGTGATGCCAGTCTTCATCCTCTCTCTGCGAGAACTGCGAGTCAGGGATTTGGGACTAGCGAGAGCAAGCTCGGACGTCGGGCAGGCGATATAGACGGCAGTCTCGGCTCGCTAGTGACGCCCACCGCCGCGCGTCCGAGCGTCGCAGAGGAGCGTCGAGGGTCGGGGGGGACGGTGAAGGGGTCCAGATGGGGCATACGTCCCAGTTCAAGACCCTCCTCCAGCGGATCTGGCGCGGCCAGCTCCACACAAGGATCCTCACCATGGTCAAATCGGCGCAGGAGGGAAAGAGATGAGTCGTCCAGACAGTCGGCTGCGCTGCACACCTCATCGCTCGCTGGATACGGCGCCTCACCGGACGTAGGTGACTATGCAGATGCTCTTGCCATGGGTCCTTCTCCTTCGACCCAGTCGCGCTTATTACCTCCTTTAGATGTCGACGGAAGGGATGCGAGGGCCTTGCAAGGCTTTCCAGCCGGTCCTTCAAACGGCCTAGGTAGTCTAGCCTCTTTCTCCTTCCCGCACGACGCGGCGTTTTTGCGGACCCGAGCGCAGCCCTTGCAAGGCATGGATGGCGGAATGCGGCATCCAGGCCCTACTGACACCAAGTCAGCTTCGGTAAAATGGCTTTCCAACTCTCCAACGACCCCGCTGGCTTCGCATTTCACCCATTGCCGTCCTAGCGTCATTGGGCATGCGCATCAAAGCAGTGGAACGAATGCGGAGAGGAGAAGAGCTAGCGAAAATCCTCCCTGCACGTGTCCTGCTGTGCTACCTCGACGTCACTCTGAGCTTCCTGTGTTGGTCCCATCGCACCTCTCACCCTCACCATCCCGATCGATCCTGGAGCAGCCAAGCGCTGCTAGTCCTGCCCTGTCGAGACGACGCTCAGTGAGGCCAAGCGCGGCGCGGAATAGACTCGTCACGCAGATGGCAAGCTGGGACTTTTGCAGTCTTGACCTCAGCGATGAGGACATGCGCTCTGCATGCGAGATCGTCTTCGAAGCTGTTCTGTGTGCTCCGATACCTCGCAACGTGCTGGACCAGCCGCCGGTCCTTCACGATGCAACTACCTCGGCTCAAACAAGCACATCCACCTCGGAATCTCCCTTGACGACCCTTGGAGAGCATCTCGGAGTGACGATGGACGCTGTGCGACGCGTCTTGGATAGCATCATGGACCTCTATCACTCTTCAAATGCGTATCACAACTTCAACCACGCTGCGGACGTACTTCAAGCTTTGTATGCACTGCTAGTGGACTTGAAAGCCGTTCCAAGCCTCTCACCAAATAGCACAGCAGCTTGGGATCCAGCCTCATCGCCCTTATCGCCTCAAGACGCGCTTGCACTACTGTTTGCAGCCATCGGCCACGACGCTGGTCATCCTGGTCTGTCGAACGCTTATCTGTCCAATGCATCGGCGCCGATAGCAATCGCCTTCAGATGCGGTGCTCCTGAGCATGGTAATGCAGAGAAAGGCAAATCGAAGGACGAAGTCGGCAGCGATGACAGCCTTGTCAAACCGGCAAAGGGCAGCCCGCTGGAGAGCTATCACGCAATCCTCTTCGAGGGCTTGATGGAGCGTTGTGGGTTGGCGCATCTTCTCTGGGCCGAACCGGGCGCTCGATCCGAATTTGGAGAGGTCATCAGATCCTGCATCCTGGCGACCGACATGGCCATACACTCCTCCTTCGTAAGCGCTCTCTCCACTTTTGAAGCCCGGCTGTACGACGAGCCTGTCGTCAGTGATCGCAGAGATCGGGCGCAGAAAATTCGTGCACAGCCTCGGAGCGAGCGCACACTGCTTTGCGCAGCTTTGCTGAAATGTGCAGACATCAGCAACCCAGTTCGAGCTCGCAGCGTCGGTCGACGATGGAGCGTCGCGCTGCGAAAGGAGTGGGAGCGTCAAAGCGCTCTGGAGGAGGAGTGCGGACTTCCGGTCACTGCGGGCGCTGCTAACAAGTGCAAGCATAAGAGGCGATCAGCTGCTCCGGTATCCATGCCACCTCTTCCTGGCTCTCCCTCAGCCAACGAGGACGGTTTGAGGAGGACAAGCGCTGCGCAGATGGTTGCTCAGATCGGTGGAGGCGGAGGCGCCGCTGCTGAGATTGTGGAAGTAAGCTTGAATGATCTGGCCGCTGCCGGTGAGCTAGAGGAAGAGCGCGCGCTAGCAAGAGGGCAGGTCGCTTTTGTCAATGCTTTTGTAGCGCCGCTCATGGTGGCTATCGCGAAGCTTTTGCCGAGTAAGTCAACATGCTCTTTGCTCGCGAACACGTCGAGTTGCTGACTGATAAATTTCGCCCCACGTAGGTCTGGACACGTATCTACAGCTTGCCATCGACAACAAAGCTTTGTGGGAGAAGCATCTCGAAGCAGTTGAGGCGCGAATACTTGCGGAAGGGCCTTCAAAACCAAGCTCACCTCCAGGAAACCCATCAATGACCGCTTTGTCCATCGCGGACGAGCAACTTGCTCAGCTTCACGGACGTCCTGCGATATCCTTGTCCATGCTGGATAGCGAGAGATTACGGCTTCCTTCGATCTTTCTGCCGCCAGTGGACAAGGTTCCTCTGGATGCACAGAGTTGCAGAGAACAGGTGCAGCGAGCTATCGACGACGCTCTGATCGGCGCCGTTCGTGCGTGGAAGGTTCCTGTGCCTGAAGGAGTCACTGCGGATCACCCTTTCATTGCGATTGACGTCGCGGATGCCAACAAATCATCGACCGCGGCGATGCCGGACGCGGCAGATGACCGTCAAAGGTGCGCCTCGAGCGCGAGCCTCGCGTCCTCAATTCGCTCGGCGGCGTCGTCGACCCCGGCCACAGCGCACTCTACTTCGACAGCAGCGACGAGCAGCGCATCAGGCGTGTTGGGATTGGGCAAAGTGGATCTCCATTGGTCTGCACTCAAGTCGCAGCTCACGGCGCCGTCTAGCAGGCATGAAGATTTGTCTGTTGGTCTCGCACCAGCACTACCTCCGATCACTGCTTCAACATCTAGTTTGGAAAGGCCCACATCGTCGCTGTATGACGTTCAGGTGCCTTCATCAGCGCCTTCTCCTGGACACGCTAGTCAGTCGCGGCGAAAAACACCCATCAGCGTCATGCGTCGACTTTCTGCGTGGAGCACCTCTAAATGAGAAGGATGGCGCATTGCAAGATCTCCACTAGCGAGGCGCCTGCCTATCACCGAATCTGCACGGACTATCTGCTAGCGCTCAACCCCAACCTTCCTCGGCAACGCATTCAATCTGGTCTCCCCAGTCACCCACATGTTGCCATCTTCATTTGCGACTTGACGTCGACCTCGCACGCAAGTCGCTCTAGAGCAACGCATGCTCAAATGTGCTCCATCTCATATCATCAATTTGACACTCTCATTGCAGAGACGTTTGATCATTAGTCACCAACTGCATCGAAGATGAGCGACGAGTGGCGAAGTGTCACTCTTCGAGCAGGCATTCGCGCATTCAGAAAGATGTGCATTCTTGAATGATCTGTCAACTCGAGTTGGGAGGCACTGTGATGAACAGACATGATGTGGAAAGATGGCTGGATTTGACGGAGTCTCAGAGAAAAGGCGCAAATAAGAGGGTGTGGTAAGGTGGGCGTCGGTGGGCGTCTTGGGCTGCGTCTGCATGGGCTAGTGTTACAAGATCTCATTGATTCGCTCGATCAGATTCAGACTTGAGCAAATTTGTCAGTGACCGTTTGCGCGAACGTCATGTGCGCTAAGGGCCTCATCAGCGCGGTCAAGGTCGCGAGCCGAGAGAGTCTTGGAGCCTAGCAAGCCGGGTGTGCTGATACCGCTCGTGCTTCCCACCGAAGCTCCGCGCGCCCTGTTCTTCATGACCAGAGCTGTGGGCAGAAGCAATGCTTCAAGTCTCAGCACATCGTCCTTTGAACCAGGCACGAACAGAGATAAACTCACGGAACTTGAAGACTTCTTCGTCTTCATCGTCCTTCGAATCGTTGATGGCCTTCCAGAAAGAGCTGCCTTTGTAATCGCTCGTAGACAGGCCCTGCATATCCTGCAAAGCACCAAGGACAATGCGTCAAAGATTGAATCGCCGGCTACTCGCTGTTGACATATCAGTGCACTCACTTCGCTCAGGGTCGCATAATCGCCAGGAGTGGCCGCTCCTCGGAAACGAGGAGACGCCGGCACGGAGAGTGGCGGACCGACTTTATTCGCAGAGTCAAAGTACCCAGGATCCTCATCCTCGTCCACAAAGGAGTCGGGATAGGCGCGTCTCAAAGCGAGCTGCCGCGCCTTGGCATACTCGAGCCCCAGCTTTTTCCAATCCAGCACTGTTCGCGCAAGACGTTCTCCTATCAGATATACTTGTGCTTCGGGCCGCTAGACTCAAGCACTCACGTTCAGACAACCTCTCAGTACGGTTGCGCTGGTTGATACGCTGCCTTCTAGTCTTCATGCAGTATCCCATCATCTGATCTGTCAGCTGATTGACACTGTCTTCCACGCTCTTCATGCGGCGATCAACGATGTAGATGCCATAGTCTTCACTGTTCTCGAGGGTGTCTTCCATGAAGCATCCGAAGCCTGACAGATTCGTCGTGATGGAAGGAATGCCCATGACAGTGCATTCAGCAGGAGTCTGTTCGAGAGAGCGAAGGGATGAGCTGCTGAGAATGTCTGCGCTGGCTGCTTGACAAAGTGCGCTACTCACGTAGCCCCAAGGCTCGTAGTACGATGGGAAGACT